GGGGGAGGGAGGGACAGAGACTAGAGAGAGACACGGACAGATGGACTGAGAGGATGGGTACAAAAGAACAATAGACAGTTCAGAAGAATAGAAAGAGACAAAAACAGCTGAAGAAAACAGACAAGAACAACATCAAAAGTAGAAACAGACAGGTACACAAAAAAGAAGGAGAACACAAAGCACGCTGAACCACACACAAAAAAAAGTAAAAACCTTATATAAATATAATGTGAAAAGTTGGAACACGACAAATATAATTTTGAACTGCTTGATCAAATGTGTAACATTTGATGTCACAGCAGTTATGTCCCCAGTAACAAAACAGCCCGCCGACCAGATGACTACTAAAAACTAAAAAAAACCCACCATCTCTCTGTGTGTACCATACAGTAAGGAACTCGAAGACAAAAGATTTCATTTGAGGTTTCAAGCTGCACTGAAACTTGTTTTATTCATGCAGTGTTATAATTGGAATAGTCCACATACTCGGTAAATCATAAATCTGAATGTTGTACAATCTCAAAATTCATGTGTCAGAAAAAGAACAATGACAAGTAAAAAGAACACTGAAAAAGTTTTTTAAAAAGAAACATAGTCAAAAGTAAAAAAAAAAAAAAAAAGTAGATCTAGAACCTGAGTGTAAAGAAAAAGCTCTTATGAAATGGAAAAAAGATTTTAAAAAACAACAACAGTGCTGAAACATTGAAGCACATTTATCTGGACTGGAATGAACGACAGAAAGTAACAGAAAGAAGAGCACATATAAATGAATGAGAGTCAAGGTTCAGAGAGAGTCCAACATTTTGGCATGTTAAAAAATATCACAAGTAAGCTATGGCTGAGATGCGTGTACGATTTTTTACATTATGCGCATACCCTAACAAGATGGACAAATGTAACATTTGTGAGTGTGTTAACCATAGTGTGCCGTTTTCTCAAAAAATCCAACAAATTGACGATTCATGACAGACATTTCTGGAACAAAGATCTTGTGATGAGGAAAAGTAACAATTGATTCAACAAACTGTACCAAACAGTTATTGGTACAACAAAAAAACTCACTGGAGCTAGTAAGTAAGTATAATGATGGAACTGTTGTGAAGAACAACACACTGCTAGTACCTGGTACTAACGTGTTCTTTGATCAGAATGTCAATGGTACTGGTAATGCAAAAAACAAAGCAAATCTTGTAACAAACATTCAACTATCATTTTTCTACCAGAAAATGGAATGTGCTACAAATGTAGCTAAAAATAGAACTAGTCTCTAAATAAAAAGTCAATGTTATTTCACAAGATTAAAAATTATGGTAGAGTCTCTGCTGAATAAAACCTTCTTTCCTTCCAACAAGCGTGAAAGCAAGGCAGCATGTATGTGGAACGAGCCAAACATCAACAGGAATGGAATTACTTTGGCCTAATGTTGATCATACAACAAAAAAAGAACACACTGGAAAACTGAGAACTTCAATCAACATTAACAATTTCTCACATCAGTACAAGTAGGCATCTCGTCATAATGTTTAACAACTCTACAAAGAGCCTCAATCATTTGAATCATGGACAATTCTTAAACTCATCAGTACAACATTCTCTGCCCCTCACACATACCAAACACCCACACCCACACATGATGAACTATGCCATCCACACACAACTCTGGAAAATTTCTTGATTCACATTATTGACTAAAGAGAACGATAGAGCTATTGTTATCTTGCTCTCCGTTTCTTTCGATAGCATACGATTCACACACAAGAGACAAACCAAGCAGTCACATAGGGCTTCTCATCACCCATTCACACACCATTTGCTACAAACGTCCCTATCACAACTACCCTAGGGCGGGTGCAACGACTCTACCACGGGCGCCACAATCTCTCCTCCCCCATAGAGGAGGCCGGGGACGGAGTACCCTGCGGCCGGACACAGTGGCGGTCATCTTCCATCATCATACGCATGTACTTGGCCGATGGAATGTCCACAGACTTCTTGGCGTTGACGATGACCGAGGTGAAATTTGGGTGTTGAGAGTAGTCGACATTGTCTCTCATCAGACCAGACACTGGCACGGGGGAAACTTTGTCCTGTTGTTTGATGTATGAGAGTGTGGAGTGATGGGAGTCAGGAAATTGGCTCATCTTGGGGACGGGTCGGCTGATTTCTTTTGAATTGTCATAGGAACTGAAGGGAGGTGACTGGGAGAGATTGAGTGGGGACATCATTTCTGACTCCGACGAGGATGAGGACGACGTCATGGAGAAAGTGCGCGACCTTGGGGGGTACTCACTGTGAAGGTCATTGGCGTAAAAGTCAAGCTGTTTGTAAGCTGGTTTAGAGGGAGGGCTAAAGTCTTTGGGTACTGGGGAAGAGGGAGAGGAGGAGTTGGAGCAATTGTTCCGAGGGGGAGGGGAAACTGGGCGGGACTGGTGGGCAGGGGGGATATGATCCTCACTCCTCTTCAAAGCCAGAGGTTGCTGTTGTTGTGGCTGTTGCTGCGGCTGTTGCTGCAGCCGTTGCTGTTGGGACGTCTTGAGCAGTACGGGGGACAGGGTGGGAGGGATCTGGATGTGCAAGGGCTGGCAGTAGCGAGTGTAGGAGGAGGAGGCTGGATGTTGTTCTTGTGTGGCACGAGCCAGGTCTGAGGGGGGGCACCGGGAGGAGAGGAGGGAGGAGGAGGAAGAGGGAGAAGACGACAACAATGACGATGACACATCTGGAGCAGACATGCTCAGCTGCTGCGAGGGGGCTACAGCTGCAGCTGGCACAGAGGATGTAGCTACCAACACGGCTGTGGGAGCGGCGGCGGGTGGAGCTTGCTGAACTGGGGCCTGGCTGGGTTGGAAGGCGGCTGCGTTTACTATCTGAATAATTTGTCCATTGGCCAGCTGAGCCGTAGCAGCTGCAGCAGGTGGGGGGACAGTGGTGGTAGTTAGTCGGGGAGGAGCTGCGTTCTGTGTGACAATGGTAGCGGCTGCAGTGGGCCGGCTGTACGTCTGCTGAGTACTCAGCTGTAGACAGCCAGCCAGGTGGCCCACTACTCGCGTCTTGACGTCGTCACTAAATCCCTGCGACTGTTTCAGGTAGCGGATCACTTCGTTGGCACACTCCATGAAGCCAGCGCGGTATTTCCCTGTGGAGTTGTCCGGGCCCAAACCCTGCGACATCTGTTGCTGCTGCTGCTGTTGGTTCTGGAGGTTGCGCAGATGTTTGACTGTGAGTTCCAAGATGTCGGCTTTCTCCAACTTGTTGAACTGAGAACTCTGGAAGAGGGAAAAAAAACAAACAACGTCAATAAATCTATTGTTCAAAAAAATCTGTGAATAACAAACACAGAATCCAGGAGGGAGGCGTGGAGACAGAAGAAGAACATTTTCAAGCCACTTCATATAAGCCCCATTATCATCATGACAATAATATTAAGCTAGGTAAAACAACACTCCCAATTATGCTCTGAACTTCTACAATAGTCTTGTTACTCAGGTACTGAGACTTAACCCCCCCCCCCCCCAACACACTTTTCTTTTTTACAAAAGTTTTGAGCCAATCAGTAGCAAAGAACTAAAGTTGTCTAAAGTAGATTGAGATCTATTAATACTTGACCCCCCCCCCTCCCCACAAAAAAAAATTAAAATAAAAAACAATCTGCTGGGTGATGAAATGACAAGACAGAAGACTTACATCTTTCTTGGAGCTGTGTATGACCAAAGACTTGAGCTGTGTGAGACTGTCATTGATGCGGGCACGTCGGCGCTTCTCCATCAGAGGTTTGTTAGTCTGGGGAACACAAGGCACGGACAGTTAGACACACAGGCAAACTTATGTAAAAGGAAGCATAAAGATATATAATTCAAGCCTCACTTCGTACTGAAGTATAGGCCTAACTAAGCAAGAACACAAAAACAACGATTAAGTAAGCAAGTGTCAGCACATGACAGTCTTGACCGATGGATCGATGGTGGTTGCAACGTTCGCACAAAGCGACCGCTCGTTGTTGGCTACCAACAAAGCAAAACTAGAAAAAAACCCACAATAAAACAGAGGAGGCCAGGCCACTAGACTAGAATGGCACTATCTGGGCCTAATAAAATAAAAAGTAAACAAAACAGCCACCAAAAGCTGCACATTTCTATATTAACCTTGATAATTCTATTATGATTTAGGGTCTCCAGTAACTGCAGTACTTTCAGTCAGCGCGTTCAGATCTTGATTCTAAATCTATCTAATCTAGATCTAGATACACCAAACGCCGAGCGCAGACAAGCTTCAAACAACTTTCGGCACACAGTTGCCTTGGCTAATCTAAATTATTTCATTAACAACAACAAAAAATTAATGGCTAAAAAATTAAGAAAGATAATGAAGTTCATGAGTACGCCTATGAGAAAAAGGAGCTATAACAATAACAAACACCACATTGTAAATAAAAAATAATAACTTGCCTATTACTTTACGTTAATAATCGTAGAAACCAAATGTAAATAATTACCTTTCTGAGGGAAGCGCTCGGCGAGGGTCGATGGGGCGTTGAAGAAGTGGCGTTTGCCATTGTCATAATTATCCAAAAAGTTTCCTTGAAACTGGAAAAAACTGATCAACAATATAAACAACAGTAGCAGAAATATCCCGGGCGTTGTTGTTGATCAAGGTAAACCAGAGAGAAAACACGAGAAATCCTACACAACAGTGGTAGTACGGTGGTACAAGTACAAGCTTTTGGTGTCGCTGGTCCCGACGAGCGCGGGTGTCAACAGCCAACTGAAGAAATTCCGATACAGCCCGGCGGGTTATATGGCGCGGCCAGGCCCCCGTGTGATCGCGCGGTGAAATCACAACCTCAAAGCCTCTAGCCACCGCCACCACCGACCACATTCAACAGGAGGGGAAGGGGAAGGGGAGGGCGGGGAGTGGGGACGGAGGGAGAGGGGGGGGGGCGACACGGTGGCCACTCTTTCTTCCCCCCTCATGACACATACCGACAGCGTCCCCTAAGGCTGGAC